CGTCGCATCGGAAAATTCGAATTCCCGCTGAATTCGTTGCACTTAGGCGCGTTGCGGTCGCGTGGCGTCAGAAAATTCAAATTTCTGCAAAATTCATTGCCGTTGAGCGCGTTGCGGTCGCGTGGCGTCCGAAAAAATTCAAACTCCCACGGAATTCATTGCAGTTTGGCGCGCTGCAGACCGCGTGGCGTCAGAAAATTCAAATTTCTGCAAAATTCATTGCCGCTAAGCGCGCTGCGGTCGCGTAGCGGCAAATCATTCGAAACAAAATGTGAATTTTTTCAGAAGAAGGACTATCAGGACGTGGAGGATTCGTGCTCCGTGCCAACTCGGCGGCTCCACAACGTCGTCGACGATCCTTATCCGAACGAAGTCTAGCCGTGAAAAGAACCCTTCTCTCCGGACTTCGAATCAAAAAACAACACTCCACTGGAGACATTCATCAAAGAGTCGCCTCAATGACTGGAAGCCTTCGTTCAAGTGGATCCACAATGAGTTGCACTTCAGAAGACTCTCTTCATCATCACGGTCTTCAACAACCAGAAGAGGAGGCCGTCGAGGAGAGCTCTATAGAAACGTACATGGGCGAGTGGAAGAACGACATGCGTAGCGGGTTTGGAGTGTGTGAAAGGAGCGACGGATTGAAGTGAGTTTTTTTCGTTTTTTTTGGAGAAAAAAATTTTGAAAATGCGCTCTACCGCAGTGAATTGGCGATGATTTAAAACGAATTCAAATTGGTTTTTTTTGGGGAAAAATTGAGTTCTGCAAACGCGCTCTAACGCATCGGACAACTTGGCCGATTAAACTTAGTATTAGAAACAAAAAAAAACATGTAGCAAATGCGCTCTACCGCAGTGAATTGGCGGTGATTCAAATTGAAATCAAAACTGAGTTTCGTGTACTCCTCTAGGACAACTTGGACGAGCAAATTCAAAATTTGTTTGTTATTAGTTTTGGAACAGCGTTATAGTTTAGCTGAACTTTTGAAAATGCGCTCCAATGCAAAGTCTAAGTTTCGTGTACTCTTCTCGGACAATTTGAGGCGATTTTTACCGATTTTTTTGGTTTTTTCTACTTTTGAAAATAAATTGGCAAAAATGAAATCAAAACCGACGAAAAATATTAACGGAAAAATCAAAAACTAAAGGTTCAATTGTCCGAGAGGAGTACACGAGAAACGGCGCTCTAACAGTGCGCGTATGCATTATTTCTGTCAGGTTGATAGAAAAAATTCAAAAAACAACTATTCAATTGATGATTGAGTCAAAATAAAGCTCAAATTTTGTGTACTCCTCTCGGACAATTTTTTCGCACACTTTGAATTTCTGGTTTCAATGCGGCTCCTTTTGTTCTAATTCAATAGTTAAACGTTTTGAAAAACTTAGTGACGAAAATGCGATGAAAAACGGAAAAGAATTGAAAAAAAAAATCCGCCAAAAATTGAAAAATAGTGACAATCTTCTCCGAGAGGAGTACACGAGAGGCTCTGCTGGAGTGCTCTAACAGGACGCGACTGCTATAATTCCGACAATCAAATAATTCGAACTACCGCCCGCGCGATTGAGATAGAGCGCATTTGCACCCAACAAAGACCCTATATATTCCAGGTACCACGGTGAATGGGCGAACAACGCCAAGTGCGGTTTCGGAGTGACGACCTTCAAAGATGGAACGAAAGAGGAGGGAAGATACAAGAACAATATCCTCATTGCATCCTCCAAAAGGAAAGGAGTCATCTTCATGAGAGCGTCGAAATTCCGAGAAAAACTAGAACAAGCGATGGGAGCAGCTCAGAGAGCCGCCAGTATTGCTCAACAAAAAGCTGACATCGCCGCGAGCCGAACCTCAACGGCAAGGGAGCGAAGCGAGCAGGCGACGTTCATTGCCAGGCAGGCGAACGATGATTCAGAGGTGGCCAGGATTTGTGCGAAGCAATTCGATCCAAGCTTCAAGCAACCTGGAACCAGACGTCTTCTGAAGGATAACAATGGAGGAGAGTCGTTCGGAACGGATTTGTCGGATGCGATTTCTTATTCTAGGCATTTGTCACAGACTCATAGTAAACAGCATTCTTTTGAGCAGGTGAGAAAGGCTTTTTGGGATTTTTGGCAGCAGTAATCCGTTGATTTTTTTTTCTTACCTAGGAAAAAAACTGACTCTGGTTCTTGGTACGTTACGGTAGCTACTGAGGAGTTTGAAACCTAAGAAAAATTTGAAAAAAAAAGAGTTCTTTTGCTTTGGGTCGCATTTTTCAAAGCGTCCCGAGACCTTACAATACCATGAAACCAGAAAAGAAGGCCCCTCAATGTTTGGAGCAGCATATCTCGGTTGTCTTCAAAGCAATCAAAAAGTATTCTACTGAAAAAATGTAAAGCAAACTATTTTAGGCATTTTACTAGTTAAACACTTTTTGAGTGCTCTAAAGACAACAGAGATATGATGCTCGGAACATTTGGTAGTGGGCGTGTCCTTATTGCAAGGATTACTGTATGTTCAGCGCGTTATATCTCGGTTAACTTGGAAGCTATCAAAAAGAGGTCAACTAACAAAATATTGAGCAAAACATGTTAAACATTTTACTAGTTGACCGTTTTTTGATAGCTTTAAAGACAACAGAGATATGATGTTCTGAACATCAAGTACTGGGCGGATCCTTATTGCAAGGATTACTGTATGTTCAGCGCGTTATATCTCGGTTAACTTTGAAGCTATTAAAAAGTAGTCAACTAAAAAAATGTAAAGCAAAACATTCTAAGCATTTTACTAGTTGAAAACTTTTTGATAACTCTCAAGACAACGGAGATATGATGCTCGGAACATCAAGTACTGCTCAGGGTCAACCCTGTAATAGAGGTCCATCAAATGCAGTATATTTAGAGCAGCATATCTCAGTTGTCTTTCAAGTCGTCAAAAAGTTGTTAACTAACAAAATATTGAGCAAAAAATTTCAAGCATTTCGTTAGTTAAACATTTTTTGATTGCTCTAAAGACAACCGAGATATGATGCTTTAAACGTTGGCTCCGTTTTTCCCCATCGCGCACTTGTTGGATAACCCAGCTATCTTAGATTCCACGTGACAAGAGAAGCTGGAGAAGCCTTTGATCTATCCTAACCCGAAAAATTTCCAGACCCTCTCCGTTGACATGGCTGACGACATGACGCCACCATCCAAAGCCTACCACAACCACGTGTCTTCCAACACCAACCACGTCAACTTCTTGCCCCAATACGGCTACGCAGACCCGAACTCGCAACTTCAGACACCCATAAACTCTCAAGATCTCCTCCAGCAGCAATCTCACAACATTCCAATCCACGATCCAACGATGATTCCATCGGTGTCAGTGGTTCAGGAGGAGGAGAAGCCGCTGATCCTTCAGCAACCGCAGACCTCGAACACCAGTCAACCAGGCCCGTCGAATCTGAATACGCAGGCGCCAAATGTGATGTCATCGAGGTTCTCATTGAGGTAAGAGATAGGTTCGATTCGCTCCTCGAAATTCATCTTTATAGTGACGACCATTACGATCAATATGTAATGGCTGGAGGGAGTCAGCAGCAGCAAAAGCTTCGACGCAATCGTCCATCGCTCATGAGACAAGCGGATGTCAACGAATCTAGTGTACGTAGGAAGTAGTGTAAAGTAGATGAGGAGGGGACTCAGGGGGCCCAACCTTCTCTCTCTCTCTCAAATCGATTGATTCATTTTGCAGGCGGGAGCACAGGGACTCAACCGAAGGTCGACTCTTGCCTCGGCACGAGATCGAAATGGTGATGTGAACCATCCGGTACCGGCGCAGAGGCTTGCCGCCGCTGCTGCCACCGGTGATGGTGATAATATGGGAAGTCTGCCGAATTTGGCGGAACTTGAAACGCAAGGGGTATGGAATCTTCGGATATCTTTTAGGGGCAAAGTGGGAGGTGCTATTTTTTAGTTGTCACAGTCTGGGCCGGGCCGGGCCCGGATCTACCCGCTAAGCCCGACAAGCCCAGCCTGGTCCGGTCCGGTAAGCCTGGCAAGCCCAGCCTTGTCCGGTCCGGTAAGCCTGACAAGCCCGGCCTGGTCCGGCCCGGTAAACCCGACAAGTCCAGCCTGGTCCGGTCCGGTAAATCTGACAAGCCCAGTCTGGTCCGGCCCGGTAAGCCCGGCAAGCCCAGTCTGGTCCGGTCCGGCCCGGCAAGCCCGGAAGTAATGACTTTGTCTCATGTGCTATGACCTGAGACCTTAGAAATGACGAAAATAGCACTTGATGTATAGCACAAGAGCCAAATTTCGGAAAATTGGCACATAGCACTTGAGAGATAGCACCTGAGTATTTGCCAATCGTCTGGAACAAAATCAGAAAAAAGTTTTTCAGGTCCGTCTGCGACGAGAAGAAGCGGCACGCCTCGCTGGGCAACGTCGTCAAGAGGTGCTCCGAGAGCACGAGGAGGCCGCGCTGCTCAGAGCGAATCCACTCCGACACCTACTGCAACCGGCTTTTAGAGTGAGTTTGGAGTGCTAACATCCAAAAAATTTTCAGAATTCGCTGACAATTTTCAGCCGAGTTATGGCTGAAAATCAGCTATAACTCGGCTGAAAGTTGGCAGCGGATTCTGAGATTCAAACAATTTCTGAAATATCTATCTAGGTCAATTCAAACCTCTGGAAAACTTTTTCCAGCTCGGGGTCCCAAAAAAAGTGGCAATTTGAAAATTTCGAATTCCCGCCAAAATTCAAAATATCAAATTTCCTACCAATTTCTCTCTCTTTTCTCCCTCTCTCTCTCTCTCTTCTTCCCCATCTCTCATATAATATCTTAACAAAGTAAATTAATCCCATCTGGCTCTCCCTCTCCTTCCGAATCTTCTCAATTTTCTCAAAAACTTTTTATGTGTGATGGAGGAGAGACACGTATCCCTTTTCCTCGGGACGTGGGGGGAGGAAAAGAAAAGTTTACATAAGAAATAGGGATCAAAAAATGATCAGGGGATCTTGAGGAAAAAAAACAAAAAAAAATTGAGCCAGTGGGGATCGAACCCGCGACTGAAATTTCAAAACGGGAGGCGCTACCAGCTGCGCCATGCGTTCACAAAACGACGTAGGGCGCCATGGCCTACATGTTGTCGCGCATTTTGGCGCGGCGCTACGAGGAGGGGGGGGGACCTTGCTAATTTTTTTCAGAAAAAAAATCAATAATTTTTTTGCAGGCATGGCTGGTTCGATGGCGCATTCCAATCCTATTGGCAATTGCGAACATTTCCCTCCTAATGCTCTTTTATCATTTGCTCACTTACGAGAAGAAGAAGAAGTCTTCTTCGTAGTAGGAATCCATTTTTTTCTTTGAATCAATAATAACTTCACAAGCTCAACTCTTTTCATGTGTTAGGGGTAATCTATTTTTCAATTGTATAGAATTTTGAATTTTTTTTTTGTTCAACCTAAAAAACTTCTAGAAAACTGAAAAAAAAATCCGGAAAAACCAACAAAAACGGCGATTCGGGGAGGACGTGGCCTAGGATTTTCCTAGGCCACCAACTAAACCGAAACGCTAAACTTCTCTAAAAAAATCTACAATAGCAAACAAAAAGTCACTTTCATTGTCCCTTTTCTTTCTTTCTCCTCTTCGGCGACGTATAATTTTGAGCGGGATTTCGTGAGTTTATTGATTTTTTCTAAACGAAAAATCGATAAAATTCACAATTTTTACTTGGTGCTCTTTTTTATTTTGTTCACTATTTTCTCCTTTTTCCCTCAATTCTTTCCAAAAAAAACCTTACGCGAACGATTTTATTGTGTCTTTTCCCCCCTTACGCACAATGTCGGGGAGCGGTGAGAAATACAAGTGCGCTCTATTGAAAAAGGACTCAAAATTTCAATAGAGCGCACTTGCATTTTCTCAGAAGACCCCTCAATGTGCATCACATATATTATGTACCCATTTTGTTCTAATTTTTTTTCATTGTGACGGTCAAATGAGAATTATCGTGTGTTTGTATTGAAGCATTGGTTTCCCTGAACCAATTTTTTTCAGTACTTCAGGCATTTATCGATTCTTCTCCTTTTTTAATTTAAATATATATTTGGTAAAAATTTTTTGTGGTGAATACATAGAAAAAAATTACAGGTTTTGTTAACCTTGAAGGTGCAGCTACCGTAGTCTCCTTAGATCGTGGTGAGACCTCCCCACATTCAAATGACTGTTTTGGCGCCCACACACACCACACAAACAAACATTTTTTCTGTTCGAAAAACGACGATTTTCACTCTGCGTCTCCACATGGTTTTCCAGTCTCTTATTGGTCATTTTCGTTTTTGTTATCGGTCAAGGACTTTCCAGTAGGGTTTCCACGCGGTCGCTCAAGTTGTGTAGATATTTCTACAGAAAACGGTATCTGCTTGGAGAGTGGCTGCACAAAAAAAACCAAAACTATAAAAATGAAGTTAAAGCTATGATTCATACACTCGGAAAATTCTAGAGTCGGAGAAAAATTTCTGACGATTTTGAGGCGGATGCTGAAAGTCAGCTAACTGAAAAACGGTCTTAGTTTTGGGTTACAGTACGTTTTTTAAACGCTTTTCATCAAGTTCTATTGTTTTCAATCGTTTCCCGTTTTCAACAATTTTGATTCCGTGAAATTCAACAGACATATTTTATACGTGTTCGGCTCTATAGCCTCTAAACTGAAGAAATATTAAGAAGGGAATGTTTTTTTTACGTGATTTAGGGATTTCCTATGACGTGGTGGTCTGAAAGTAGATGCTTCCGTGAGTGGATTCTGAAAATTCCAGCCCTTACTAGAGCTTGAGGGTCTGGAAATTTTAATCTCACGCGCCACGTCTATGGTGAATAAGGGTCGGTGCCAGATATTCAGATGAAGATTTCCAGACTCTCAGGCTCCAGCGAGGGCTGGAAATTTAGATTCCACTCACAGGAGCATCTACTTTCAGACCACTAGTTTGTAGAAAATTCCTAACCCACATGAGAAAAACATTTCCTTATGAGGGTAGAAAAGCTCTAAAAGTAAAAAAAGTCCATGTGAAAAAAAACCATTCCCTTGTGAGAATGACCCCTGCCCATTATTTCTCCTCGTCTCCCATCTATTCCCTATCGTTGACCCCCATAAAACACCTGCCTGGCCTTTTGCACATACTGGTCATCGTCTGTCTACCCCCTCCCTCCCTCCCTCGTTTGTTACATGCAGAAAGAGACCTTATCTATCTTTCTCTCCCTCTCTTTTCTTGACCACCCAACCTTTTTCTTTTTTCTCTTAATTCAATTATACGGGTTTTTGAAATGCATTTTATGAAGGCAAAAGCGATTTTCTAAATCCACAATTTTTAAATTATGTACCTAAATTCAAATTTTGCACTTTTCAAATAATTTCCCGCGCTCAAATTTCAAAAAAAAGTGGTCATTTCTTTCACCGTCTCCTACCTTTACACACTATCTAGCTCTAGAGAAGCCACGCCCCTTAACTTGCACGGGCCCAAACGTTTTTGGTCATTTTAACTCAATTGATGATTCATACGGGGGCACCTCATCGAACCGAACAGTCCCCCAATTTTATGTTTTCTCTCTTTCTCTGCGTCTATCACTCTCTCCCCCTCTTCATTCTTTGTCTGTTGACCCCACAGGACAACAAGTGACCACTAACACTTTTTTTTTCGTCATCGACCCATTTTTTTTGAGCAGATGGGTTCGTACCTTAAAGGCGCGGAGAGTTTTGAGCCCAAACTGACTGTTTTGATATTGTCGGTAGAGCGCATTTTCACCACTAATTCTCTGCTCAATTCCAGGTAGCAAAACCAGTATTCCATCAACAATGGCGCAGGCTCCACCGAACAAAATGAAAGCGCGTCCGGTAAGAAATTTTGCGGATGAAAGTGCGCTCCAATCAAAGTTTTGGGCTCACAAGCATATCAAAATTTAGGTCTCGATGAGTTTTAGTACTTCGTAATATAGCCAGACCATTCTGATATACATTGGCCTAAAAATCCGGGCCAGTATTATGTTCCCGGACAGCCTAGCCTAGTCCTGGACCGTCTGACGGTAATTCTAAGTGTAAATCTCATCGAGATCCACATTTTTTTTTAATGTTTGTGAGCCCACAATTATGACTCTATGCGAGCTCAATTGACCTGAAACTTCTTCCAGGACCCACCATTCCTAATGGATGGTGATTACACCACCTACGTCAATTCCAGCGTCAAAGAACGAGTGGAAATTCTAAGAAATCAGTGCATAGAAGTCCATCGACCACAGGAGAACTACTTCAAAGCAGTGGCCAGAGAGCACAACAGATTCAGGGCTCGCATTCAGGCGGACCCCGAGTTAAAGGAGTGGAAACATGACTTTATGACTGAGAAGGACAGCGGAGTCCTTCGTCGGATCTTGGCGCAGAGAACTCTTTTGGCATTGTGCACTGATGAGAGCCTCAAAAAGAAAGACGAACATTTGGTGTTCGGCCGGAAACAGAAGGAACTCACGCCTCCTCCACCAGGATTGTAAGGATTTTTAGATTGAGGAAGCGCTGAATTTTTTGCGGGTGGCTCATTTAGACCTAAATAGATGCCCCAAGAATTTTCAGAACCCGCTGGAAAATTTCAGTCGAGTTATGAGGTAAATACTCAACTGCTATTTTCTCAAATGCTACAGGGTGATCACGTTCTATTTGTTGAGAGCAGTATATCTCGGTTGTTTTTAGAGATATGAAAAAGTGTTTAACTGGTAAAATGTTTGAAATTTTTTGCTGATCATTTCTTTAGTTGACCAAATTTTCGTAACTCCAAGGAGAACCAAGATATATTGCTCTGAACATGTCCTACTAGACTAGAGGTCCGCTGACAATGTTCAGCCGAGTTAAGAGGAAAATACTCAAGTTCTACGGGGATGGTCGAATGCTATGGGGAAGGTGCTATGGTCTTAGTTGCTATTTTGTCTCATCTGCTTACAACACCTTCTCAATAGCACTTGATCACCCCATAGCATTTCCGTATCGATTGTGTTAAGTCGATGAGTTAGCAATTAATCGGCTGAAAATTGTCAGAGGATTCTGAAAATTTTTTGGGGTATCTCTAGTAAAATTACCAGTTCAACTTCGGGAATTTTTTTCGAAGAAACGATATTTTTGAAAATCTTTGAACACCCGCCAAAATCAAATGTATCAAATTTCCAAAAATAGATTGCATTTAGACACTGAAAGTGTCAAAAAAAGCAATTCAACTATAGCACAAGAACCAGGACAGCACTCGAGACAACATCACCTTCCCAATAGCACTTGCTCACTCCGTATCACTTGAGTATTTCCCCCATAACTCGACTGAAATTGTCAGCAGCCCTCTATGCTTGTAGGACATGTTCAGAGCAATATATCTTGGTTCTCTTTAGAGTTACAAAAATTCGGTCAACTAAAGAAATGTTCAGCAAAATATTTTGAACATTTTATCAATTGAACACTTTTTCATATCTCTAAAGACAACCGAGTTATGCTGCTCTGAACGAATAGTACTTGAGAAAATAGCAATTGAGTACTTGCCTCACTGAAACTTCCCAACAGATTCTGAATTTTTTTGGAGTGGAAGGCCTATCTAGGTTTATATGAACATCTGGTAAAAAATTCAGCAAGTTAAGCCCCCCCCCCCCAAAAATATTGTATTTCCTACTATTTTTTCTACAGCGATCCAAAAAAGTACGACGGAATGTACCGTACTCCGGATGTTCGGTTCCAAATCACCAGCAATCTCACATTCAACAAATACAATCCGATTCCTGTGTACTGCGATGTCTCCAACACCCTTGATGAGCTGAAAACGAATATTCCGGATACCCTTGCCTTCCAGTATATCAATGTGAATGTGGTGGATCCTGTCAAGGAGATACATCTGGCCAATGCGATTGAAATGGCCAATGAAAGTCCTAATAATCGGGTCAGTTTTTTGGATGTTTTTTTTTTGTAATTTCGGTATTTTTATATTTTTTGCTGCAATTTTTCGTAAATTTCAGTGTGCATGACACACACAGTGAATTTTTTTGGTACGTGTTTTCAAAAGGTTTCATTCGCGGGCTCTGTCTTACTGTAGGGTCGCATG